AGGGGGCGTGCAGGAGGCAGGCAATCAATGATTCTCTCTCATCATTGATATTTCTATCTCTACTTCTCCCTTTCTAAAGTCAATAAAATATATTAACAACAAAAAACAAGAATGAATGAAAGGAGAGTTCATTTCTCCTGAAGTCTGGATGATAAAATAAGGGTAATTTTTGGGTAATTGCCTAAAAAGGGAGGTGTTTTGATGCTACCTGCCAGGGCTTAGATGACATTTATGTACCCATGTGCCTTTTGTTGCTGGGGGTGACACACTGATTGTTAGGAATGAGATAGCATACATCAGTGGTACCCAGTCTCGAAAATCTCCACAGGCATGGGTAAGGGAGAAGGCTAAGAGAGAAATGGATTATGGAGCTGGTAACCTATAATTTTGGAAAATAAGATAATTAGGAAACAACCGGTCCTCACCATGGCAAATTTGTGTTACCTTTGAAGTTGTGCCTCTGGGAATGAAGCTGTTTGAGAGAGGTGTTTGAAGAAGTATGTGCAGCAGGTAGTACAAAGCTAATGGCCTCAGCACCCTTGGATTGTGGTTGTAAGGTTGAAGTGTGGTGTCATGTTCTTGGTATGTTTGAGGAACAATCTGAGCGACTACAAAGGTATTGCCTGACAAGACCATATCAAATCATTCACACTCCATTTCTGGCCAACATCTCTTCCTACCCTATACACTTGACACCAACTCTACTGACAAGAGGAAGTGTGGCGTACGTGTGAATCCCAGAGCTCAGTTATTTTCTATCTGTTCAACTGCCTTTATTGTGGGAAGACAAAATATCAGTAGAAATATAAGATGACAGTGACTTTCATGTGATGAAGGCCTGGTATCTTCTCTGGTGTGTGCAGTGGAGGGGGAAGACTGATATGGAGGGTGGGACTATGAGAGATTTGGAATTTTAGCACTGAATATGATCCTGGGCTGTACTGTCCCCATTATGAGAGTATATCAACTTTGAGGATGTGGCCATTGCCTTCTCTCAGGAGAAATGGGGGCTCCTTGATGAGCCTTAGAGACTTCTCTATTGCGATGTGATGCTGGAAGTTTTTGCACTTGTATCATCTGCAGGTAAGACCTTCACATTCTCCCTATGTCCTGAGATGATGTCCACTCTTCATTTATTCCTCTGATGTAGCTTTCGCTCTTCTAGAGCCAGACCATGGGCTCTGCTAATTTCCCCCACTGTCATGTCAAATGTGCTGTGGCTGCCATGGGTGCGGTCTGTGGAAAGCCCTGAGCGAAGGACTCCACAAACATTGCCTCAGACAATGCAGGATGTGTCTGGGAGTCAGGAATCTTACAGACAACTCATTGCGTCCCATCTGCTAGTCCTCTCCCTAGCAGGGTGACTATGTCCAAATCCATGGCTTCCATTTCTACCTCCTTCCTCTAGCCAAAGGTCCTTGGTGACTGCCTGTGTCAGGTTATGGTCTTTACTTACATGAACCTTGAACTGGTCTTACAAGATCACACTTCAGTTGTTTGTAATATTATCTTCTGTAAATACGATTGCAAGCCAAATTGCTCTAGGCCAGTGCTGGCTGCCTATCTCTGTCATCTTTCATTAATACTTGGAATATTTCTGTTTTACGTATTTGTAGAGAAGAGCGTTCAGGATGAGCCTTGATTTTTTTACAGGATGAATATGCAGGATAGTCTCAGAAGAGGCCTGGCCCTGTTGAGTTGCAACTGTGGGCTAGATATGATGTAAGGGTGGTGTTTAGATGATACCAAGCACCTGCTCATTTTCAACAGTGTTTAGGTGCAAGTACCATGGGCAATAGCACATTTCTACCTTTTCTTTGCCATACTTGACACTGTGCTAACTTGTCATTTTACCTGTGACTTCCTGGCATTTGACTACCTTCAACTGTGTGTCCTTTTTGAGGTTTCTGGCTCGTCACTGTTTCTCTGTCTCTCTCCCTTTCTCTACCACCTCACCTGTTCCTCTGATTACTCCATCTTCAGTATTCTCTAACATCAACCTGTACATGTGTTATGAGATGCACATATAAGCTTAAATAGTTCTTGAAAACCAGCTACTAATTTATTGAATACTAGAGGCTCCGTGCCTGAAATTTGTGCATGGGTAGGGTCCCTACGCCTGGCCAGCGATCAGGGCCAATCAGATTCCCTGCCTCCCCACCTCCGCCATCCCTTGCCACAGGCACACTGCCACCTCATGGTTCCCCCTGCCTCCTCACTTCCTTCTTCCCTCATTCCCTCCCTCCCTCAGCTCCCTGCTGCTGCCATTGGTCACCCACCATGTTCCACAGCGCCCCCTGGTGGTCAGTGCTCATCATGGCAAGTGATGGTTCTCCTTGTCGAACTCCTGAGGGGACACTATATATATATATATGAATTATTAAAAATATATATAATTTCTTGGAATGAGACATAACTATATTTCAGCACAGCTTTCCATGTCACCAGCACACAAACCATGCTGAACACTCTTAGCAGAAGAATGAGATGACGATCCTGCTTCTCTTCCACGTGCTGCTTACCACATGTGTGTTATGTTGTTTGAGGTCTTCCTTGTTTTGTGATCTTCAGTAGCCCAGACCTTCATCGCAGTATCTTATAATCCTTCCTACAGATCTTTCATTGTCAGTCAATTGCACAGAACCAACGTATTAAGTGCCACACACTTTTGTAAAGGGACTTCCACCTGACACCGCAGTCCGCATTCAGTTCCTCACCATTTATTTTATTTTCACGTTGTTGCCTTAAAACGGATGAGGAAGCCAATTCTGAGCAGAGTGTGTATGTTCCAGGAGAGTCATAGGTCAGGACTTTTAAGAGAGCTTCTGCAACCCAGAAGACCCATCCTTGTCTCAGTCTTAAAAGATATTTTGCACCTGACTGAGTTACAAGCAGCATACTTTGAGCAGAAAGCCTTCATTAGTGATACATGTGTGAGAATCTTCTGTTTCAGTGCAAACCCACACCAGCAACAGAGAGATGCCAGTTGACAGAAGCCCTGGAAAGAAGATATGGACAGGGCCTCATTTGTGTCCCAGTGCAGCTTTTACTTAATACGGGTGCCTTCAACCACTAGGGAGGTTGGGAAAGACTTGCCAGCCATCTCAGGCATTCTCCAGCACCAGGACACTTTTATTTGATTTTATTTTTTAAAATATATTTTTATTGATTTTTTACAGAGAGGAATGGAGAGGGATAGAGAGTTAGAAACATCCATCAGCTGCCTGCTGCACACCTCCCACTGGGGATGTGCCCGCAACCAAGGTACATGCCCTTGACCGGAATCGAACCTGGGACCTTTCAGTCCGCAGGCCGACGCTCTATCCACTGAGCCAAACCGGTCAGGGCTAGGCCACTTTGAACACTGGGGAGCCACACAGTGGTACTGACATTTCAGAGGAATTTCTCAGTGGAAGAGGTCATGACGAGTGGGGTGAATGTGAAAAAGCTGCCAGCCACAACCAGAAAGTTGTTCAACATCAGGTTGTCTGCTCCAGAGAAGTGAATTATAAGTGTAAAAAATTTGGGAAAGCTTTTAGATAAACCTTTAACCCCTTTCATCATAGAAGAGTTTACACTGGAGAAAAGCCATACAAGTGTAGTGATGGTGGAATGTCCATCATCATGAGGTCCAATCTCATTCAACAACACAAAGTCCACACTGGAGAAAAGCTATATAAGTGTCGTGATCGCAGGATGCTCTTCAATCAAAGCAGTATCATCACGCCACACCGAAGAGTTCACACTGGTGAAAAGCCTTATGAGTGTAGTGCATGTGGGAAATCTTTTACTCACAATAATCACCTCCTTACCCACAGGAGAGTTCACACTAGAGAAAAGCTCTAAGAGTGTAGTGATTGTGGAAAGTCCTTTAGGCCACACAGGAACTTCTCTCAATACCAGAGAGTTCACAGTGCTGCAAAACCTTATAGGAGTAGTGAATGTGATTATTTACCTGCAATAATCACCTCTTTATCCATAAGAGAGTTCACTGGTAAAAAGCTATGTGCGTGTTCTGGTTATGGGAAGTTTGTAATCTTTATTAATATCCCCAGTGTAAATACTCTCATCGTTATGCGGTTCAAATGGCCAAAATGATGGCTCTGAACATGGACATGATAAGATATTTCAGTAGCACCTCATTATATTTTATTTCCAATATGTTGATACAGTGTGTTCAAATATGTTCAAAAATTTTCACAATAAAACAGTAAAATTATTGGGAAACATCAAGTTTAAACCTTTTTTTAAAGATTGATTTCAGTAGAATTGATTTAAAATGGACATAAAAAAGTACACTTTTGGTGTTTCCCTGCATGCCTGCATTGCTGATACCAAGTTCCTCCTGCCCTTATCAGTTCTTCATTCTCGGCCTATAAAATAATTGATGCAATAATTCAGTCTGACATTGAAATAGCTTACTTTATGTTCTTGTAAAATAGACACTTATGAAATCCCATGAATCCTAATCTAGACTTCCACCACTATCTGTCATCAAGATGGTTTCTGTTTCTATCTATTCTCAGGTACATTATTGGGTTATTTTACTTAAAATGTCACATATGTCTGACCGAAGCCAAACAGCTAAGTGGGTCAGCGAATGATTTCAATAATGGAAGGTTGCAAATTCCATCGCTGGTCACATCAATTACAAGAGTTACTCAAAGAATGTATAAAATTAATAGAACAAAAAAAATAGATCTCTCTCTTTCTCTCTATACAGACAGTCCTCGGGTTACTTCAGACTGTACATATGTTGTTTCCTGGTTATGTGGCCTTCTGCAATTTATTGATATAAAAAAAGTTCCGTCATTTCTATGTAAGGCGTTTGCAGGAAGTTCGCTCTGGAACTAGTTGGCCAGCGGAGCGGATGAATAAGTCCTCACGCGGCGCTATAGGAGGAAGACGCTGTCCTTCAGTCTCCATTTCTAAGCCATTTTGGAGTGTGTTTCATTTGCTCTCTTTTGTGTTGTTATTTTGAACACTTTTTGCCCTTCCTTATGGCTCCTAAGCGAAAGGCAGATTCTTCTGATGGCAGTTCTACGAAAAGAAGGAAAACCACAATGGAAGTGAAAGTAGATGTAATAAGACGCTCAGAAAAGGGCGAAACACCCAGACACATCGGCCGGTTGCTTGGCCTCAGTCCTACGACTGTCTCCACGATCATCCGCGATAAAAATCGTGCACTTGACCATGTGAAAGGATCTGTTCCTATGAAATCAACTGTGATTACAGAGCAACGCAGGGATCTCATGATTGAGATGGAAAGATTATTAGTGCTTTGGCTGGATGACCAGCATCAACGGCGTATCCCAGTTAGCCTGATGTTGATTCAGGAGCAGGCTAAAAGATTGTTTGAGGCCTTGAAAAAAGAAAAGGGGGAAGGGAGTGAAAGGGAAGAGTTTGTGGCTAGTAAAGGCTGGTTTATGTGTTTTAAGGCTCGTGCTAATTTGCATAATCTTAAGGTGCCATGGGAAGCTGCTAGTGGTGATGTGAAAGCAGCAGGTGATTTTCCTAGTGCGATGGCTGAGATAATTAGGGAGGGGGGTTACTGTGATAAACAAGTGTTTAATGTGGATGAGACAGGCTTGTTCTGGAAGCCCATGCCTACACGTATGCACATTGCCAATGAGGAGAAGACAGCATCAGGCCATCAAGCCAGCAAGGAGAGACTGACTTTGCTACTTGGGGCTAATGCTGCTGGTGACTTCAAGCTGAAGCCCTTGGTGTGTCTGGCTGAGAATCCAAGGGCAACCAAGGGCATATGGAAGGGTCAACTACCTGTCATCTGGAAATCTAACAAGAAGGCCTGGGTGACACTTGGCGTATTTGAGGACTGGTTCACCAACCATTTTGTGCCAGAAGTGAAGGACTACTGTGCTTCCAAGGGGCTTCCCTTTAAGGTGTTGCTAGTGCTGGGCAGTGCCCCTGGTCACCCTGCCGATCTGAATGACTTTCATCCAAATGTCAAGGTGGTTTACCTTCCACCTAACATCACCTCCCTTTTACAGCCTATGGACCAAGGTGTCATTGCTTTTTTCAAGGCCTACTACCTCCGAAGGACATTTGCTATGGCTTTTCGGGCAACTGAGGATAAAGAGTTGACTCTCAGTGACTTTTGGAAATCTTACAATGTTCTTGCTGCTGTAAAGAACATTTCTGATTCTTGGGTTGAAGTTAAGCAGACGAACCTGAATGGTGTTTGGAAAAAATTGTGTCCCCAGTTTGTGAATGATTTCCATGGCTTTGAGGATTCAGTTGAGGTTGTCATCCAGAATGTCGTTGAGCTGAGTAAGCAGCTTGATTTGGAGGTGGAGGCTGAGGATGTCACAGAGCTGTTGGCATCTCATGGAGAGGAGCTATCTACCCAGGACCTCATTCAAGTGAAACAGCAGTTAATTGAAGAGGAAGACACACCAACCCCAGAGCCCAAGAGATTTACAAGCAAGGAACTGGCAGGGGCCTTTGCCATGATAGAGGATGCCTTGGCAAGGTTTGAGGCTCAGGACCCCAACATTGACAGGTACACTAAGGTTGCCAGAGGGGTCATGGATAGCCTGCAGTGTTACAAGGAGATTTGGGAGGACAAGAAGAAGGCATCCTTCCAGACTAGCCTTGAACATTATTTTAAGAAGGTAGAGAGGCCTGCAACAGATCCTGTACCCTCTACCTCATACGCCTCTCCAGACTCTCCTGACCCAGTATCACATGCACCTTCTGCAGGTCCTGCCTCTCCAGACTCACCTGACCCAGTATCTCCAGCACCTTCTGCAGGATCTGCCTCTCCAGACTCACCTGACCCAATATCTCCAGCACCTTCTGCAGGTGCTGCCTCTCAAAACTCCTCCCCTCAGCAGCCTAGTGTAAGCCTGTCTTTCCCTCCTTTACAAAGTCCAGTGTGCAAGCCAACAACAATAGTAAAGGTAAGGATAATACCGTATTTACCCTTGTATGTACATATGTGCTTTATGTTTTTTTATTATTTATTTACCACAAGTAAAGGTCAGGAATTGTTATCTTTCTTTTAATTATTTTTTTTTACTGTTTCACTTCATTACTGCTGTGTATGTGCATCATATGAGTGACGTAGGTGCTTATGTAGCTGGGTTCTGACTTACAGCAGAAATTGCGATATGTCGCGCCATAGGAACAGATCTCCGACGTAACCCGGGGATCTACTATATATATGTATATCAATTACAAGAATTAATCAAAGAATGTAGAAAAGTGATGGATCAAAAAATAGATCTCTCTCTCTCTCTCTCTCTCTCTCTCTCACTAGTGGCCCAGAGCATGAATTTTGTGCATGGGGGTATGTGTCCCTCGGCCTGTCCTGGACCCTCTCCAATCTGGGACCCCTTGGGGGATCTTTGACTGCCAGTTTAGGCAAGTATCTGGCCTAAACCGGCAGTCGGACAGCCCTCTCTCAATCCAGGACCACTGGCACCTAACCACTCACATGCCTGCCTGCCTGCCTGATTGCTCCTAACCACTCTGCCTGCCAGCCTGCTTGCCCCCAAATAACCCCCTTGCCGGCCTGATCACCCCCAACTGCCGCCCCCGCCAGCCTGCTTGCCACCAACTTTCCCTACTGTTGGCCTGCTCGCCCCCAACTGTCCCCCCGCCAGCCTGATCACCCTGAAATGCCCTCCCCTCCTGGCTGATCACCCCTAACCGCCTCTGCCTCTGCCTCACCACCATGGTTTTGTCCCGAAGGACATCCAGAATTTCTCCCGGTCTAATTAGCATACTACCTTTTATTAGTATAGTAGAGGCCTAGATCACAAGTGGAGGCCAGCTGGTCTGCCCTGAAGGGGGTCCCTGATCAGGGTGGGGGTCCCCTTGGGGGGGTGGGGCTGGCCTGGGTGAGGGGCCTGGGGTGATTTGCAGTCCGGCCACGCCCCCATCGGGGTGAGGGTCCCTGATGTGAGGTGTTGCAGGCCTGGGCGAGGCGCTGAGGGCCATTTGGGGTTGGTTTGCAGGCCAGCCAATCCCCCGGCTTTGTCCAGAAGGACATCCGGAAGGTCTCCTAAAGTTCTCCCAGTTGAATTAGCTTATTACGTTTTTATTAGTGTAAATATATATATCCCTATTTCTCTCTTTCTGAAATCCATATATGTGTTTCAATAACCTAGTCAGTCCACACACATCTGAACACCAACACAGCCTAGGGACCTGTGATGACAAGTAGCTAAGGTTCTTCTGAGGGCAGAGCATACAGTGACCCAGAGAACAGTATGGGAGGTGCCATCTGTGTCAGTGTGGCAGGTGGGGAACCCGGGCTGAGCTGCACAATCACCCACAGGGGATGATGACATCAGTGTGGTCCCTGAGTCTAAAAGCAAAGCTGCCAGGCACTAACATCGACAGACGAGTAAATGAAAAGGGAGTCCATTTCTGATGGTGTCTTTATAATATGATAGGCAGAATTTTAGGATAATTTCTAAAATGATGGGTTGCTGTGATGCTACATGACAGGTCCAGAGCTTAGAGGCCATATATGAGCCCACTTGCCATTTCTTGTTGAGGGCTGACCCAGTGCACAATAGGAATGAGATAGCACACATCAGTGTCATCTGCACTTGCAAGTCCCCACCAGCATGGGAAAACAACAAGAGAGAAGGGTGAGAGATAAATGTATTACAGAAGTGGTGAACTAGAATTTTGGGAAAGAAGCTAATTAGAAAACATGCTGTCCTCTTCATGGCTTATTTGTATTCCCACTGAAGTTGTGCCTCTGGGAATGAAGCTGTGAGACAAGTGTGGATCAAAGAACTATGAGCAACAGGTAATGCAAAGTGATGGCCTCAGCAAACTGGGATTGGAGTCAGAAGTGTAATGGGCATTACCATGTTCTTTGGTGTCTTGGAGACACAATTTGGAGGACAACATGGATATTGCCTGACAACACCAGTGTCAAATCCATCACATTCCCATTATGTGCAACATCTCTTCCTACCCTGTGTGCCTGCCACCCCGTTATTGAAAGGGGCAGTGTGACTCCAATTTGAGGAGCAGAGCAAAGGTATCTTGTATCTGTTCATCTGCCTTTATTGTGGGAAGACACAGCATTAGTGAGTATATAAGGAAAGATTAACTTTAATGGGACCAAGGCCTGCTGTGTTCTCTGATGTGGAGAGTAGGATAGCATATGGATGTGCAGGGTGAGGGGTATGGCAATCTTGGAATCTCAAGAGAGAATCTTATCATGGGATGTACCATCTCCATTATGACAGGATATGATCTTTGAGGACGTGGCCATTGCCTTCTCTCAGGAGGAGTGGGAGCTCCTTGATGAGGCTCAGCGACGTCTGTACTGTGATGTGATGCTGGAAGTGTTTGCACTTCTATCAATTGTAGGTGAGACCTTCCCATGTCCCCTAGTGTCCTGAAGTGGTGCCCATTCTTTATTTATTTTCCACACTTGGCACTCTCACTCTCTCTCTCAAAGCCAGACCATGGGCTCTGCTAATTTCCCCCACTGTCTTGTCTAATGGGCTGTGGTTGCAAGCGCTGAACTCTGCGGAGAGCCCTGAGCAGTAGAGTCTATAAACCTTCCTAACACCAGTTGTCTCAGAAACTGCAGGAAGTGTCTAGGTGTCAGCAGTCTTACAGACATCTAATGGGTCCCTCCTGCTCTTCCAATCCCAGGGGGGGTGACTATATCCAGATCCATGGCCTCCACTTCTGCACCTTTCCTGTAGATAAGGACCTTGGTGAACGCCTGTGCCAGGTATCTTCTTTACATACATGCAAAAGGGGCTCTTCTTGTAAGATCTTCCTTCAATAATTGTTTGAAATATTATTTTCTCTGAATACTGTTGTGAGCCGAATGTTATGGGCAAGTGATGGCTGCTCACCTCTGTTGTCTTTTCATTGATACGCAGAATAGTTAGTTTGTACATATTTCCAGAAGAGGAGGTACAGGGAGAACCCTGGTTGTCTCCAGGATGAAGGTACAGGATTGTCCTAGAGGATGCCTGGCCTGGCTGAGTGTCAACTGTGGGGAGGTATGACATAAGGATGGTGTTCAGATTGTACCAGGAACCTGCTCCTGTCCAATGGTGTTAGGTGCAAGTTCCAATGGCCATACCTCATTTATACCTTTCCTTTTCCACACTTGACACTTTGCTGACTTGTCATTTCATCAGTGACTTCTTAGCTTTGGCTGTCTTCTCCTTTGTGTCCTTCTTATATCATCTATTCCTCTGCACATCTCTTTCTGAAGTATTCTACAACATGGACCTATGCAAGTGTTATGAGGATCACATACATACTTAAACACCCCTCAAACACCAGCTACTTGTTTATTGAATTTTACTTAGAATGTGATGTAACCAATCTTCTGCACAGCTTGCCAATGTCACCAACAGAGAAGATCTACTGAATGCTGTTAGCAGCAGAATGAGCTGGACAGTCTGCTTCTCTTCCATGTGGCGCTTGCCATGTTTTTACTCTATTTCTGTAGAAATCTCTCCTGTTTTGTGATTTTCAGTGGTCAAGAACTTCACAGGGACCTCTTATTAAGGCATCCTACAGGTCTTTTATTTTCAGCCAATTGCATGAAACCAATGTAGTATGTGCAAAACAGTTTTATAATGGGACTTCCCCCTGTCACCACAGTCAACATTTATTTCCTCATCATTTCTCTGTTTTCAGGTCATTGGCAAAAAATGGATGATGTGGAGGCCTATTCTGAACACAATGTATCTGTAGGAGAGTCTCAGGTCAGGGCTTCCAAGACAGCTGCAGCCACCCAGAGGACCCATCTGTGTAAGCCGTGCTTCTCAGTGTTAAAAGATATTTTGCACCTGACTGAGTTACAAGTGGTTTACTTTGAGAAGAATGTGTTCTTAAGTGATGCGTGTGTGAAAGACTTGTGTTTCAGTGCAAACCCTCACCAGCAACAGAAGGATGGCAGTGGAGAGAAGCCCTGGAAAGAAGATATGGAGAGTGCCTCGCTTGTGACGAGTTGCTGCTTCTACTTTTCTGGGTTGCCTGCAGCCAATATGGAGGTTGGGGAAGACTCCCCAGCCATCTCAGGGCTTCTCCAGCACCAGGCCACTCTTAACACTGAGGTGCCACACAGTAACAATGAGATTTCACAGGAATTTCTCAGTGGAAAAAGGCATCACCAGTGGGTTGAATGTGAAACAACTGTCAATCAGAAACAGAAAGTTGCTTATCAGAAAGGTCTCTGCTCTGGATTTATGATTGATGAGTATAATAAATGTGGGGAAGTGTGTAGATGTATCTTTAACCACCTTCAACACAGGAGAGTTCATACTACAGAAAAGCCCTACGAGTGTACTGATTGTGGGAAGGTCTTCAGTGAAAGCACTGCTCTCATTAAACACAACAGAGTTCACATTGGAGAAAAGCGTTATGAGTGTAGTGAATGTGGGAAGTCCTTCAGACAAAGGTCTTACCTCACTAGACACCACAGACTTCACACTGGAGAAAAGCCATATGAGTGTAGTGAATGTGGGAAGTCCTTCAGTCACAGATTCCACCTCACTAGACACCACAGAGTTCACACTGGAGAAAAGCCATATAAGTGTAGTGAATGTGGGAAGTATTTCAGTCGAAGGTCTGACCTCACTATACACCACAGAGTTCACACTGGGGAAAAGCCATATGAGTGTAGTGAATGTGGGAAGTCCTTCAGTCGAAGGTCTCACCTCACTAGACATGACAGAGTTCACACTGGAGAAAAGCCATAAATATGCAGGGAATGTTTTATTTTTCTCACTTATTATAAGAACACGTAAAGGGCTCTATGGGACCCTTTACATGAATGTAAACCCCTTTTACGGGAACATACACGCTGCTAGATTCCTCATAAATTTGAGGTACACATGGGACCTGAAGGAGCTGCATTGTACTTGCTAACATGCCCAGACCTATGACCCAAATGATGTCACCGTCTGCTTGTCGCTGAAGAGATTTCACCTCTAACACCTGGCTCACCTGAGGAGTATGCAAAGGTCACAATCCCTGGGTGCTCAGGGGACTGTATTCTGTGTTCTTGCTTTTGCTTGAAGTAATTATGGTTCCTCCAACCTCTTGGCAGTATCTTCATTCATTTGCTTATGACTAGGAAATGGACCTGACCCAGGATTCATCCAGAGCACCTGTTCTCAGCTAAGAAGTGCTACCTCTTTCAGGATCATAGTGGTACTCACATTATGCTTTGATAAATTTGGGGGGATTCTTATTCACCAACTCGCAAACCCCTTGCTCTCCTGTGCTCTGGTTTATGATCTTTTTTTAAAGGTGTTGTTACATTTGTACCTTTAATTTTGGTTTTATTCACGGCCACAGATGATTTGCAAATACAAATGTGATCTGTCAGCATGCAGAGATGAATAGATATTGTGTTTATCACAAATTTATGTGGTTTGGAAGGGAGAGCATAATGGCAGGAAATCACTTTTTGTCCAATTTTGGCTTATTATTTACTGCAGCCCATGGCCTTGAAATAAAGACCACATGACTTTGTGCATTTAATCTGCAGCCTAGTGCCTCGATTATTGGTGAGGGCAAAGGTCACTCTGAAAGTCTCTCTGCTTCTGTGACCAATATGAATCATGTTCTCTGTTCAAAGTATGTATTACATAAGCTTCAGCAATGTTTAGAGAGCCTGCTCTCCATGTACTGCAAAGGAGCCATGTGCCAAGAAGTATGAAATATCATAAGCTGGTGTCATTATTGTAAGACGCTGAGGTGGAACCACAATTACGACAGAAACACTGTTTCAATAGTGAGTGGGAAAGCCTGCAGTAAATTAGATGAAAAGGGCCTCTTCTGAACATAAGGCCACCACTGTTCCAGGGCCTGTGGTTTGTGTGACCTTTAATGTAAAGACATTCTCAGGAACTCCAGAACTGTTTCATGTAACTGAAGTCATTGGCAGATAAAATAACCTAATGCTATTGTGTATTCCCTTGACCCTCTAGAGTGTTTACATAAGGTAGTTGCTCAACAGGAAAGAAGTCAAAGCTAGAGGAAGAATAATCCTGCAATCTGTCCCAGGATGTGTCTTTTGTAAGCAGTCAGCATTCCTGTTGAATTTCATGGCAATAGTTTTTTTTTTTTAATATATACTTTTGTGATTTTGGAGAAAAAGGGAGAGAGAGAGCAAAATATCAATGATGAGAGAGAAACATTGATCACTTGCCTCCTGCACGCCCTGCTCTGGGGATCGAGCCCTCAATCTGGGCATGTGACTTGACCAGGAATTGAACCTTGACATCTTGGTTCATAGGTCGATGCTCGATCACTGGGCCACACCAGCTGGGCTGATGGCAATAGTTTTGACTGCTTGCCAATATTTGCTGTCACTGAGGCTAGGCTGGTCCTCTCAAAAAATGAGGAGAGAGATGGTCCTCTCTATATAGGGTTGCCATCTTAATTTTCTAACAACAGCGGGATATCTAGGATTTATATGAAACCACCTTTCAAGACTTTATTTAGGTATATATGTAACTGACGAGCAAGGGAATGCAGTTTTCTAATGTGCACTATTTGGTGAGGTTGAACATGCAGATAAAGCTGAGAAACCATCACAGGTGAAAAAGGCTTCTCTGGTACCCACATCCATGTTGGGAAAAAAGTAGGCTTACTGTTGTGAGTATGCCAAAACACACAGTTAATTCTCTTTTTCAAGTAACTATTTTATATATTTTAAAATGTATTTTCTATTAAATTTTGAAGGGAAGGGAGAGGGAGAGAAACAGCAATCATCTGCCTCCCGTATGACCAATTATTGGGGATTCAGGAAGGCATGTGCCCTTACCTGGAAGCAAACCACTGGCTTTCAGTGAACATGATCACAGCCAACAAAATGTGGCACAAAAGGCCATGCAGAGTTTATATTTGTGTTGTTATTTATTAATCATTGTATTATTTCCATACCAACAACTCTAAACCTACTTTTGCCACATCCTATATTTACCTTCAGTCCTTTTGTCAGCTTTCTGCCTCCCAGCCCTCCATGCAGGCATCGATTTACCTTCCTGTACAGTAGAGTAGTTTATATTTTTCATAATTGTATTGGCACTATAAGGTTCATTCTCTTTAACAAACACTGGCTTCCTTCATGCTACACAGATATTTTGAGATTCGACACTATTGTTTATGTAAATAGTTAATTTTTTATTTCTAGGAAATAATCTATTCTGTGGATAACCACTTTAACTACTGAGCTGTCTATGGTTTCAGTTATTTGTGCGTTTGGGGTTTTATAAATAAAATACCTGGGCCCTAACCGGTTTGGTTCATTGGGTAGAGCGTCGGCCTGTGCAGGAGGCAGCTGGTCAAGGTTTCTCATTGATGTTTCTAACTCTATCCCTCTACTTTCCTCTCTGTGAAACATCAATAAAATATACTAAAAACAAAAATTAAAAAAATTAAAAAAATAAAACCTTGGGAATGTTGTATTCAGTTCTTTCTACAGGTGTATGTCTTAGGGATCAAACTGTTCCAGTGTCAGTGAATGTGTTACACTTTAACATATGGAGAACTGTGATCTAAAATGGTCAATCACTTGGCCTTCCCACCCACCCACAGTAATGAAAATTCCATTTTTCTGCAACCCTGCTAGCACATGTGAAGTTTAATCTTTTTAAATATTAGCCCCATCAATGAGTATACTGTTAACTTGCTTTTGTTTTAATTCCATTTCCGTAAAAATGTTTGATGGCGATCATTTCTTCATGCATTTCTTTACACTGTCTTTATCTCCTTTGTTTAAATGTCTGCTCAGGATTTTTGTTTATTTTTAATGTTAATTTATGAATCTAACCAATAGGAGGACAGTGCAACCTCTAAGACATAAGTTTGAGTTTCACTCATTCCTCAGTGACTCCACTGACTTCTTTGCCGTGTGGAATTCTTGGTTTGGAATTCTATATACAAAATGTTTTTTTCTCAATTTTTACTTTATATATGATTTATATCCCACTTGTGCCTTACACTTATAAGTTTAATCTGCATTGTTCACATTCTCTACTGGTGGTCTTTAAGTCTAAGCATTTAATAATACATTAAGTGAAGTCTAGGTTGTAGTAGTTTGCAATTTTGCTGGTGTAAATACTCTCATCAACACCACAGTTTGGCATGTCAAACTGCCAGAATGATGCCATTGAGCATTGACATAAGATATTTCAGTATACCTCATTATAGTTTATTTTCAGCATACTGATACAGTAGCAATGAATATACTCAAGAACATTCATGAGTTATTGGAAAGTGACAAGTTTTAAACATTTTTAAAAGTTTGATATAAGTATAATTGACTTAAAACAAATTTAAACTAAATAAATATATACTTAAAATATGTTTTTATTAGAGGAAGGGAAAGAGATTGAGAATCATCAGTGATGTGAGAGAATCATTGATCAGCTGCCTCCTGAAGACCTACACTGGGTATCATGCCTTCAACCTGGATATTTGCCCTGACAGTAATCCAACTGTAACCTCCTGGTTCATAGCTTGATCCTGAACCACTGAAGAACACCAGCCAGATAAAACACATTTCTTAACATGCTCTTTTATGTTTCCATACATGTCTGCATCCCTGAAACCAAATCCTCCTCCCCTTTTCAGTGCTTCCTAATTGGCACATGAAATTACTGATGCAAGGACATAATCTACCTTTGTAACAGCTTATTTCAAATATATCCATATAAAGAAAACACGAAACATACTGAATTTTAGTCACTATCTCTCATCACAGCGGTTATAGTATCTACCTATTCGTAGATACATTAGTTATTTTACTTAAAACCCCTTGTAAGTTTTCCTTGGCCAGGTAGTTCAGTTGACTCAATAATGCCAAGGTTGCAGATTCCATCCTCATGGAAGATGCAAGAATCAAACAATGAATATAAAATTAGTGGAACAACAAATGGATGTCTCTCCCTATTCTATCTCTCTCTAATAAATATATTTGTGGGTTTTTCCCCCCGCCAAATGAGTCAACTAATGTGAACACCATCACAGACCAGGAACCCTGTGGTGAACCAGCCATAAGGGTTCTCATGAGGGCAGAGCACACAGTGAGGGAGAGGACAGAAGGGGAGGTGCCGCTGCTGTCAGTGTGGAGGGTGGGGAACTGAGCTGAGCTGCTGTCACTCACAGATAATTATGACATCTTTGCTCCCTGAGACTAACCCCTAGGGGACTGGGGAAAGCTCTGGGCCTGGACATGGGCCTTGTGGTCTCAGCACCATCCAGCCAGGGGTTGAGACTGGGGCTATTTTGGATTCAGGTAGTGGAAGAGCCCAGATCCCTCCCAGGTGTTCCAGAGCAGTTCCTGATACTTGAGGCCCTCAAATCAGCTCACCTACCTCTGAGCAGCCCACACACTCCCCTGAGATCCACAGGCATTGTTAGAATCTCTCTGCTTTTGCATTTCTA